CTAGAAAAAAGTGACTGCTAGAATTAAGTGAATATGTGAGGAAGAAAGTAACGTGAATCGTACTCCTGTATAACCTGTACGTGAGATAGTTGGATACAAAACAATCGTCCAACTAAATTGTCATCTGAAAAACTGAGTACTCGCACACCACACTAGAACTCCGGAATCTTAAAATGAATTCTGTGGTTCCAGCCACTTCTCGCAAACCGGCATCCTGTGTAGTCCTAACTAAATCATGCCTTTGAGATGAACCATGATACGAAAGGATGATTAGAGGAAGTCGAGGTTGGTAATTTCTTATGAATTTGATGCAATTACAAGCGATTAGTTGAAACCTTCGCTCCACGTTAGTCAGTGTTGTTCAGCGATCAACTTATCTAACAACANTAAAGTAGTTTGTATGATTTTGCGCCAACGATGATATCGGGGTCGCGTGGGGAAAAACGCAAAGATCTACGTACTCTTGCCTACAGAAGTACCTGTTTTGTCCACGATGCCCTAGTCGCACATTCGAAACAAACTGTGCAACGACAAACTATGAAGGAAAAACATCACTAATAAGAAAGTAGTGGCTCGGGAAAAGGGAACATGAAGTGTCTCGGGACCCTCCATTTGATCAGCACCTCCAGTGAACGGTGATGGCTCAACGGTTCCGGTTACGACCTCATCGCCCCGGGAGGATAGGTCTGAAACACGCCGGCGCCTCTACCGTCTCATTTTCCTCTATGCTTTAAAATGCCTTATGGACTCCCCTTTTGGAAAATTGTTTATGCAGTTGACTATTCGCATTTAGAGCCAAGTATACAGGATAGAAATGAAAAGCTGGTTCAAATCTATAAGCATTACATATCTACCAAACTAGATTGAATGTTTTTCAGATTTTAGTAGACATTTCACTTACTCTGTCAGTGTGCGCTGAATTTTATCCCGTAATAAGAGACCGTCGGAAACCATCAATAGGGAAAGCCATTCGTTTAATATTGTTCCTGTTCATGAACGAAATAGATACCGCTCTATTCCGGAACCTATCTTGCAACCCGGAATCGAAGGGAATACATGTCCCTTCATGGTGCATGAATCAATACTGGTTTTCGACATCTTCGTATCATGGATTCTGTGTCTATCATATTGGTATTTTGCTCAAGAATCAACCAATTGATTTAAAACCCATTAATTCACTCACACCCAAAATGGTCAATGTATTTGACGCCTGTTCTAATGTGCAGATGGTTCATGCTAACAAACGTTCCTCTCCTCTTCCTCTGGCTCATGCGCACTCTGCAATGCACGCACGCACGCACGCATGACATTCAAGTGCTGTTTGATTACAGTCACATGGTTAGCTGACTTGTCAAATGTTGATCGAATCCTCATGGTATAATTCGAAGCACAAGAAAAAGTAACAATTAGAGTACTTGTCACGTTGCTTACATCTGACGTTTTATGTCCCCTCCTATTCAACTGTTTCTGTGAGTGTACACATCAAAAACATGAGAATTTATGCAGTAGGAGTCTAATTCTTGATCAATAACAAACTTTGGTGCCATACCAATATGGTGTGATTCGGTTGCATGTCGGTTACTGAATTTCAGCCTCAGTGAGTCGGTTACTTTGATGTGAAGGTCGTTTCTGGGTGGATACGATGATTTCTTTTTCACTTTACTTCCTTTTATTGAATATACGAAGATACAGTTTTTCAGGAAAAGGAAGCGGCCAATCAAAGGGCTGTCATACAATACACAAATGGGGAAAGTCAGGCGGTGGTAGTGGGATTCGAACCCTCGTCCTCCGGGTTGATAATTGGTGACGTAACCACCGGACCACCACCACCCCAAACTCGAAAAACAATACTCCGTTCAGGCATATGGATTTTGAAGAGATCGAAACAGTTTCAGATACAGATAGAATAATGAAACTGGGAGCGCCTGCGACATATGACGGACAGCAAGTGGTTCGGAAGTTTGTTCCGTCGTGATCCACTTCCACATTCTATCACCGATAGTCCTGATGATCTGTGAAGAGAAAACATAAATCCAACTCTGTTCTTGGAAAACCTAAACTTCCCCCATCTCTGTGTGTCCAAAAATGGTTTATCATTTTCCGAGAAAATCCTCGTTTTCGGTAAAATTTATTCAACAGTTTGTAGCACCACAGTGTATTCTTACACTGCAGTGGAAATATAATGAAAACGCATTGTAGGTTTTCATATTTATCAAATATTTGAACCGTTTATTTTTCGCTCGAAATTCAATCCTGATAAGTTGCTTATAACATTTTTTCCAAATGCCATAATTTATTTCAGAGTAGCCAGCGTGGATTAGCCCGTTCGATTATTAAGAGGCACCAAACACTCTTGATGGTTTTACTCCTTAGGAGATTGTTAATTCCCCACACGTTCTTACATTTATATGCGATGGTAATGTTTGTGATAACCGACAAAGAGCACTGGACAGCTGTTTTGTCCTGTTTAGGACTCATCCGCAGAGCGTACGTTTTGGTCCCTATCATGACTCAGCAAGAGTGCCTCTTAATAATCAAGTGGGCCCATCCAAGCTTGCTACTCTGCAAATGATTGAGCCATTTGCACAAAGTGATGACCGTCGACCGTGTAGCCCAGGGGCAAGGATTTGAAGTTCCAACCATAGCTTATATTCCCAAAACCGCTTGATCGAAGTGAGCATCCGATCCAACCATGCAAGTTTGTCAGCGATTAGGTGCTGTAAAGCCCACTTTATAATTGCTATCTTTGATACACAAATGAAAAGCTTAATACTAACAGGTTCAGATTAGACTTACGTAATAACTTCAGTGGTCGGATTATTTGTGCGCTTCGTAGCTATCGTAAATCTTTATCCCGATTTTCGGTTTGGGTAGTCGACAAGTGTGTCTGCTGCCAGTTCACTGAGAATATATTCTGAAATCCACTGTGACCTTTGTATATTGATGGTTATGGGCAAAGTGTACTTATTCTTGATTTCATCTCCCACTGCAATGTATAAATATATATGTATGTATATATGTGTATATAATGATAATCCCATTATTTCATTCATTTCATTTACTTTTGACAACGAGTCCTAGTTTGGATCGAAAGCCTACAATAAACATTTTACAAGTCAGTATACGCTTACTTTCTTGATATATATATCATAATAAATAGCACATGATTGACTGGACAAAGTTTCCTGGAAAATACACGACCGGTTTCGCGGTTCTTGCCGCTCGTCAGACCACCGTATCCGGTAATCTCTTGCCAGTTCATTCATATACTTGTACC